ATGTCTACAGCTCTCCACCACCTCCACCATACTACTCTCCTTCGCCAAAAGTTAACTACAAGTCTCCACCACCGCCATACGTCTACAACTCCCCACCACCTCCACCATACTACTCTCGTTCTCCAAAGGTCGTATACAACTCTCCACCACCACCTTATGTCTACAGCTCTCCACCACCTCCACCATACTACTCTCCTTCGCCAAAAGTTAACTACAAGTCTCCACCACCACCATATGTATACAGCTCCCCACCACCTCCACCATATTACTCTCCTTCTCCAAAGGTCGTATACAACTCTCCACCACCACCATATGTCTACAGCTCTCCACCACCTCCACCATACTACTCTCCTTCCCCGAAGGTAAACTACAAGTCTCCACCACCGCCATACGTCTACAGTTCACCACCCCCTCCACCATACTACTCTCCTTCCCCAAAGGTCGACTACAAATCTCCACCACCGCCATATGTCTACAAAATGCCTTACTACTAATTTTCAAATGTTTCTTGAACAAGCAACATGATTCATTGCTATTGTTTTTTTTATGAAATTTTCTNAAGGTAAACTACAAGTCTCCACCACCGCCATACGTCTACAGTTCACCACCCCCTCCACCATACTACTCTCCTTCCCCAAAGGTCGACTACAAATCTCCACCACCGCCATATGTCTACAAAATGCCTTACTACTAATTTTCAAATGTTTCTTGAACAAGCAACATGATTCATTGCTATTGTTTTTTTTATGAAATTTTCTTTTGGTTTTCTATTGTTGTTGCTTCTTCTACTTGATGGTTTTATAATTAATATACAATTTGGCTATTTTTTGGATGCACCTATTTATTGGTTGATGATGTTCAAACTTACTAGAAATTTGAAATAATTACATTTTTATTCGATATCGGCGAAACATTAAAAACTTGTTTCTGTATGTTTGCAGTTTTTAGTGAAATGGTCTGTACACCAACAAGATAGTTTTGATTAATTAACTTGAATTTACATAAAACATTCTTAACATAATTCTTTCGCCGTGCACAATAAATTCAAAACCCATATATATATATATATATATGAGTGTGTGTGTGTGTGTGTGTTAGAATGTTTGTGTAATTTTAGATTTTTTTTTAATTTCTCACCAACTGATGTTGTAGTTTATTATGAATGCATTTTATCTAGGCTCATTTAGGTGAATATACAAATAATAGTAGGTAATTGCAGATGTATGCAATATTTGAAAGTATTTGCAGAGTTGGTTTTTTAGTGTGTATGGTTTGCCAAATTAACCCTCAGACGGTAGATCCACCACACGAGAGCTTCGGCGAAGTACGTAGCAACTTTCCTCATGGCTTCGGCTTGGGACACAGTTAAAAATCCAATCTGCTTAGCCAAATCTTCCGCTAAAGTCAAGTTGTTGTTCTTTACGGCTTCAGTACATGCCATAAGCGCGTGGACTAGACATACACCACCGTTATCTTGCGCGTCGACTAGGACTACAAGTTGAGTTGACTCACTAGCGGTTGTTGTCGTTACTGTCGTTCCTATGACTCCACCAATCTGCTTAGGCGGCGATGGAGATGTAACCATGTATCAGGAAAAGGAATAACCGGATCCAAACCACTAGACCCATACGCCACCAGTGGATTAAGCTCCATGAGCATATTATCAAGCCACGAGTAAAGTTCCGCCGGTAATGAACAGTCTCCGTCGCGAAATGAGCTTAACCATCTTCTTGAACATTACCCATCATCACCGCAACTGCTCGAGTTTCCTCCGCCATCTCCGATGACCTCACCTTGTAACCTAACACAATCGAGAAGCTCGTCGTCTTCTTCTTCCTTCACTATCATCATCCTGTCTTTATCAAAGAAAATGTCTGTGAATTGAGAATGAATTTAAGAAAGATGCGAGAACTCGTAATTTTTTTTGTGGCACAAAACAAGAGATTTTTTTGTTAATTTCTAATTCATCATCCATTTTGTAAGGATATATTTGGGATTTATGAAAATAGTACAGTAGTTTTCCATATAACTAATTAAATTCTATTTTTAGGTTATGTAGTGCAAATTCCCTTTTATCTAACCCAAATATATATAGCCTCAGTTACACGATTAAATATGATCGGATGGATAGCAGACTACCCAATAATTTTTAAATTTCCAAGGGCGGTAATTGGAGGTTATCAAGAAATATCAACATGTTAATATTTGGAATTCCTTAGTTTATCAATCATTTGGTGAAAGTATAACAATTGGCGGCAATTGAACTTTGTCGATACAAAGTCGACTTTATTTTTATATTTAGCTAAGAGTATCAGTTTTGTAACTAGGTGGATCTCATTTTTTTCGCAATCAAAAGACATCGTGAAAAACGTAAAAAGATATTGAAATAGAATTGTTGATTTAAGTGGTTGGTTGAAAAGACGGTTTATATGAATTTATATTTGTGACAAATAGATTGTATATTAAAAAAAAAATAGTTTGAGCATTCAGATAAAAGAAGGATAATGTTTTAAATGAGTACTAGAATTTGATCTGCATTTTCAAAGTACGTAATTAGTTTTGAGTTAAATTGAAATTATAATTATTTTAACAAAATAAATTTTAAAATTTGTACAAATTGTATCTCTGTGGGTTCTTTTACTAAGTAGACTAAACATATGTCTCTAGTAGAAATACAGTCCGTATTATGCGAATTTTTTAGTTTAAATTCTTAAAATTTATAATAAAAAATTATACATTTATCTATAGAATGGTATAAATATATCGATATATTTTGTTAATATGTAATCTTTGCATTGCTTTTCTGGCTGATAAAATTGTAGTCTTGATTTTAGTTAGCCAGATAAAATAAACTAAACTACATTTGATTAGTGATAGTAAATGATTTGCTTCCTGTAAGATTTGATTAGTCTTGGCCTCATGGTCAAGCTAGATTTTTTTTTTTTTTTTTTTTTTTGGGCAAAGGTCAAGCTAGATTAATAACGGTTCTTAACAGGTTGTTTTCTTGGCAGTGCTTTTTGGCTGGTCAAGTTTAGGTTTGTGTTGTGTACTCTTTAAACTACCCTCTATCATAGTTTTGCGGAACTTCCAAAAATGGAAGAATCGTGTTTGTTCATGTTAGATTGATGAACAGCTCGTGAAATCTTCAAGCTGTGTGGTTTGTCTGGATTGGGTATGGTAAACTTGGTTTCAAGAATAGATATATCTTTCTGTTATATATAGTATTAAACTTAACAAATATTTTTAAAAAATTACTTATAAACTGAATTATCTAAATAATTTTCATCCGAAGTACTTAAAATTATTTGAATTACCTGAATAATTTTACCCAAAATATTAAAATTTATCTGAATTACCAATTTTTTTTAATTTGAAAACCCAAAAAATGTTTTGTACCCCAAATATCTAAAATAATCGGAAAACAGTAACCGAATTGAAACCAAAAGGTATTGGATATAGCCAGTTCTTATAATTGTTACCCAAGCCAAACTGAAAACCTAAATAACCAAACCAAATCCAAACAAATTTCATAGGTAATTGGATGGTTCCTATATCTCCAGAACCGAAAAAAAACAAAAACCAAAACAACCAAACCGAAAACCGAATGCTCATTCCTAAAATCAACTGTATAAAATGAGAGTGACATCTCAATAAGAAATGTCATATTCAAGTTAAAAAGAAAGAGGTTCAACTAAGTTCTATGTTTCTCAGAGTTATTAAGAACAAAAATATATTTTTTAAAAAAAATAAAAAAAGAAGCAATGGAACTCAGTTTGAAGAAACTCTGGCTACTGCTGCTGATGATCTCTGCAACATTAATATCTGAGGGCTATTTCTTCTTCCGGTTCGAGACCAAGGACGCCTAGAAGAATGAACTCCTTTAACAAAAGCGTGTCCACAAAGGCACCCACTTCTTTCTTAAACGACTCAGAGCATCTCTCGTTACTCACTTCCCCTCCCTTAACATTTCCCCTCACCAAAGAGGCCACTGGAGCTCCATTTTTATAAGCATTACACGCCTTCAACAAGTCGTGAGCACAGCTGAAGAAATGCCCATTCACAAAGTCTTCAAAATACTGTAAAACCCACCAAAGCAAATCAATCTCAAGTTTTTTTTGTGTGTTGTTGTTGTAGAAACAACAGTGTTAAATGGATGAGTTTTAGTTTTATTGTTGTTATACCTTGGGTGGTCTCCTCATGTTGTAAACCATTGTCTTCAAAGAAAGCAAGAAAGTCTTTTCGCTGTAAGCATAAGACTGGCACTCCCCTGCTTGAGAACCCGCCATACTCTCGTGGCCAGGTTCGTTGAAGAAAGGTTTTTGATTCAAGATTAGTCCTTGGATTGAGACAAGAACCTGTAACATTGTAGACTCGTTTGGGATCCACTTCTCCTTCTGAGCACCACTCCAAGTGCCGAGAAGACTCAGACACACTTTCCCAGAGTTGTACAGATTTGGGTTGATTCTTAGCCCACCAGAGTGGTAATGAACCATCTTTGTAAAAAAAACAGAATTTCACATAAGAAAGACAATAGAAACACACTTTAGAGACAATAAAATTTGACTTTACCGGTGGCACAGAAGGGTATGCATCAGGGAAGAAGATATCGAAAAAGAAGAGACCGTCATGGTATGGAGTTCCATCAGCTCCAACAATCACAGCCCTCAAAAGATCCATCCTCGACTCATAACCTCTGACAAATATCATCTCTGTTGTAATAAGAAACAAAAAAAGAGAGAAATGTAAGGAAGCTGCTAAAACATCAAGCACTATAATTATTACACTAACCTGGCAAATCATTCTCAAGAATTTTCCACTCTTCTTGGATCCTTTTCGCCCATTCCTTTGAATGCTGAAAGGTAAGACAACAAAATACTCAGTTCTTGAAATAAAAAAAACGTTTTCAAGAATAATGGTTTTAACTTATTGCAACCTGTTTGGAAGATGTTCCCTTATTAGCATAATGGTGGTCCACCAAATCTTCAACAATGTCAAACTTCTTGAAAAACAAGTACTTGCCAAGATAATCCTCCACGTTTCTCTTAACTCTGGAAGTAACTGGAGCTGAGATAACCTCTTCCACTAGAGGAAGAGTCCGAGCAGTAGAAAATCCTCCTGGATACTTTTTCTTCATCTGAAGCGATAAAGCAGAAGAAGCTGAAGCTGAAGCTGGAGCTGGAACCGAGGCCTCTCCCATCACAGTACCTTGAGTCTGAGGCAGCCCAAGATGCATAGGAGAATACTTCAAACCTAGTCCAGAGTAATGTGGCACTGCGTTACAAGAGTTTGGTTCGAATCCTTTAGGGTTGTACGGTAGAGCGAAAGAAGATAGATCGATTTGAATTCCTAGTGTTGCTTTCTTGGAGCTGCTGCTGCTGCTGCTTGTAGCTTCTGGTTTAATCCAGTGTTCGTCACGTGAAGTCTTGCTGCTTCCACTTGGTTTAGTGGCTTCAGAGTTTGGAAGCCAATCCATGGCCACCTCAACACCAGCTGGAATTTCCTTCTCCTTAGCATCGAAAAGAGCTTGATACTCGGAGACGTACTCATCAGCATGTTCATCCTCGATCTCATAGGCATAATGATCACAATAGTCATCATCGTCGTCTTCTTCGAGGTCTAGCAAACCAGGAAAGGATTCATCGTTGTTCATTGCGTCATGAGAATCGCTAGCAGGTCCCTAAGGATAATAGATTAAAACAATGTTAGCATGTAGCAATCATAATATGGAAAAAAAAAAAAAATCAAAACAGTTTACATCAAGTTGCTCATCGTCAGATTGTGAATCCAATTGTATAGCCTTCCCTTTGTTCTTATAATCAACGCCGCCGTTTTGCATTTCATATTGCTCCTCTGCGCCATTAACATCTGAAGTTGTGGCCTACAAGATCATGAAATGATACAAAACGCATAATCTCTAGTAAGATAACATAATATTTATATGAGTACTGTCACTAATTACGCATATCTCTCCCCAAGTAAAAGACAAAAAAAAAAACACAAGCGTTACAATGAATATGAGTATGAAACACTAACTACGCATAAAAATTGCACAGAGATTGAAAACGTAAACAGAGAATAAATCGAATGGTCACGGAAGAACCAAACACAAGTGTCACATTCCATAACAACAACTTAGTAAACTTTACAGAAGTGAATTTACGGTTACAAGTGATCAAAACAGGAAACGACAAAACACGATTTTTTTTTTTTTTTTGCTACTAAAACACGATTTTTTTGTTTAAAAAGGGTCAAAATCAACGATCAGAACAAATCCAACAGCAAATAGAAACAGCAAAACAGTGAACAATGCTCGTGATCACTTAAAAAAAAGACGAAGGCGTTGGTAATTACGTAAACCAGTGAACTTTGGGGTAACACAGTTAAAACAGATTTTACTGTCTACACAAACCAAGATAAAATCGGTGAAAATTCAATTTGATAAAAGCATTCACCTTGTGGGGCGTTAGAGTTGTCGAGCATGAAGCAGCAACAGGATGATCGTTCTCGGGCTCCATTGAACACAATTGAATTTGCCTCGAGAAAGAAAAAAAACGGACAACGAGAGAGAATTTTACTCGACTTAGTGAAGAAGAAAGCAATCAGATAAAAAAAGATTACCTTGGCGCCGTCTTATATATAGCAACACAACTCGGATTGCTCTGTCTCTCTCAACACTTACCAATTTTAATTAAGAAAAGCCTAATTAAAAGCCTTTTTTAATTGCTTATTTATTGTACGTTTTTTTTTTATTTTTCAACAAGTCAATATGTAAAGTCTACGATAATGGGACCCAGTTTTAATCGGACGGTTATAAGGGCATCATTATTGCAAGGTTCTTAACGTAAAGTCCTTAATATACATATATGTATATGTATATATTGTATAAGCGTATATAATTATAAGTTAAGGACTTTACGGAAATCAAAGCTGAAAGTTCCTTAATTAAGAAACTTTCGGCTTTGGTTTCCGTAAAGTCCTTAACTTATAATTATATACACTTATATAATATATACATATACATATATGTGTATTAAGGACTTTACCTTAAGAACCTTGCAATAATCATGCCCTAATCTTATTTTTTATACTGACATAGCGATAATAATAACGGTTGTGGCATAGTCTCTTGTATAGTGGAAACTGGAAAGGACCCGAGAATATACAACACGGTTGATGGCTTGGACCAAGGCTATGATTTTCAGCCGTCAGATGTAAGGAAAAAAAGATACGCTTTGGGTAAAATCCACGGATGGGAACTCTTCTACTGATTTTGGTAGCAAATCAAATGAGAAGATTTAATTGTTAAAATATTTTGGGAAGAAATCAGAATCTAGAGTTCTAGTCTTCTGGATACATGAACAGAATCTGATTATTGGATCATTAAAGTTATAAAGTATATACTTGATTTTAGAAAAAAATGTCAGATATAGACTAGTATCAATAATTTGATTTTAAAAAAATAATAATATCAGTAAATAATCTTAACTAATTTAATCTTTTTTAAATAATAAAACCAGTAAATAATATTCACCAACAAAACCACTAGTACAGTAGAATCTCTATAAATTAATACTCGATAAATTAATATACATTAAATATATCTATAAAATAATATAATTTTATAGTCTCAAATTAAGTTTTTAGTTTATATCGATAAATTAATATTTCTCTAGATTAATATTTATCTAAATTAATAAAAAAAATTTTTTTGGTGTAATCCCAACATTATTAATTTATACAAGTTTCACTGTATAAAGTTGTGATAAATGATAAAACATACTATTAATTAAAAATATTAATATTTTTATAAAATTTCAGTTTCTAAATTTTAAATTGAATTTATGTTTAATTATATCATAACATCTCTTAGTTAATAGATCTGGTGGATTTCACTGATCAGAAATAAAAGGCAAAACTAAATTTGATAAAACTAATTTCTGTTTTTTTTTAAAGAAAAAACTAAAAGACTAAGACTTCTATTGGACTTTTAAAAAACGTTGGGCCTGAATAGATTACTTTTACTTTGTTAATAATCTAACGACTAGCAGAAACGATGAGGCCCATTATCAAGGATCTCATAACCTAATAAAAATAGTGGAGGCTAAAATGCTTTTCTCATCCCGTTGGAATTTCTAATCTAGTTTTACCATTAAAACGAAAAATCTTATTGTTCATGTATCATTAGATAAAATCATAAAATCGACCTCTAATGATTGTATTTGAGTACTATTGGGGGAAAAAAGTTGAATTGGGAAAAAGGTATATAGCACCGAGCCCCACTTTCAAACCACACTTATCATTTTGGAATCTTTCTTTTTGAATATCTATTTCAAAAAGACAAAATGATGCCTGATAAACTTGGACTCCAACTACGTAAGCTGATGAATGTATGTAGCTGCTCTACAACGCAAGCTAGATTATATCAAAAACATTGTCTGATTGCTGAAGGTGTTCTTTTATACATTACGAATCGAATTGTAAAAAACCCTTAACATTCAACCACGAACTTATTGAAGTACTTACTTGATTAGCATTTCATTCAGCCAACTAGTTGAAGCATTGGCAGAGCCTCTGCCTTAAACCACGACTTCAACTACTCAAATGACAAGATTGAGTGGTCGATTAGCTTTTAGAGGATAAGTATAGATATGTACAATTACACATGTATATTGGGAGTATCTCTTCACATCCCGTGATCATAGTAAGAAGAAAGTAATCAGTTATATCCCGTGTATATCGCAATATCTTTAAGTTGATGCAGCAACATACAGTAAGATTGAAATATCTTAGTTTGATTATTGTTAATCCATTATTCATGTTAAATTAAATAAAAAAAATGGAGGAATAATGGAATATATATAGTGGGAAAAAAGAGTGAAATGGACAGGAGAGGTTGGCAAAGAAAGGCTTCTCTTCTCCGTAATCCCTAAAGATTCGGCTTTCACCATAATTGGCAGAGATTCTCCACTCTCTATCCATCTATAAATTACATCGCAACCAAAGATTTAATCACAAAGCAAAACAAACAAAAACACACACAAGAAAAGAAGTCAAAAAACCTTTCAGGCTTTTTTCAAGATCAAATCATGTCTTCGTGCGGAAACTGCGACTGTGCTGACAAGACCCAGTGCGTGTAAGTTTCCTCTCTTTCTTCACGTCCCTGAAGAAAACTCTCAATATTTGTTTTATTTGGTGATCTTATGTTTCATTATTATTCTCTAGATCTTGATTAACATATATGTTTTCTTATTTCTGTAAACTGTAGGAAGAAGGGAACCAGCTACACCTTCGACATAGTCGAGACTCAGGAGAGGTAATTAATTCTAGATGACGGTTACGGTTATGGACTTTAATTTGGTGATGGTTAAGTTTATGATGATTTTAATTTTTAATTTTGTGTGTTGCAGCTACAAGGAAGCCATGATCATGGAAGTTAATGGTGCAGAAGAGAACGGGTGTCAATGCAAGTGTGGCTCTAGCTGCAGCTGCGTCAACTGCACTTGCTGCCCCAATTAAAAAAAAAGTCTCCTAATATATACATTTTAAAAGGGGCCATTTCTCTTTTCTTTTCCTCCTAATATGTAATATGAATAAAAGTTGATGTGAGTTCATCTACTGAGCTCATATCTCTCTTATTACTCTCTAGCATGGTGTGTGATGTAATGGTTTTATGGTCCCTTATCCTCTAATACATCATATTATCTACATATTAGTTTCAGTTGTCTTGCCGCCATGCCCAAAAATCTTTTTCATTTTTAAGGTTTAGTGACTTGATTATCAGCTCATTACTAAAAATCTCCAAGAGTAGAGATGCATCTTGTTCCTTTAATCAAACCGGCATGTGGAAAAAAAGTGAGGTTGGCTAGTATATGAGCTCTTACAACTTCACTACTATGATATCACGTAATGAGTTTTAGGCTTTTAGCCTTTATCTTCTTATGCATCATCACATTTGTCCAATATTCTAAAATTGTTAGGTGATGGTTAGACATTTTGTAGAGGATTATTGGTTAGACGAATGTCATAACAGATTTTTTGAATATTTAAACCGATTTTTCAAAAAAATCAGTCTAAGAAAATCGTTTCGCTCATACTTAATTAGCTGATTAAAAGGGCGCCTGTACCAATATTTAGAACACTGCATTTCTCTATCTGTAAGGTATTTACAAAACTGAACACTACAAGGGTTGCAAGATATTTGAAGGTAAATATTTACATTGCAAAGCACAAACACACAAGCATCAAATTTAGTTATGGACCCATTGTGTTCGGTGTAAATGGGCCAGGCCCATTATATAACTTGCAAGAGAAATCACATTGAAGAAAAGGTCATTCATCCCATTGCGGCGGCTAAGGTGGTGGTTACTCTGTTGACACCACCGTATGAAAATCAGTGCGATGTTGTCTTCTCTGATTCCTCTGCAACTTCCATCTCGGATGCAAACTCATCTCTGGTATATATTACCAAACGAAGTGAATAACAAATCTCTACTAAAACACTACACTCAGCTTCTGTCACAACACGAGAAAGACAGCATCTCTGGAATGCAAAGTGATGAGCTTAATAAGAAGAATGCATTGCTTGCTCGTACCTTGGTCCGAACCACACTTGCAAGATACCATACAAACAACAACGACAACACTGTAGTTGATCCAAGAGCCTTGAAGTTCAAGAAGAATCTGTACGGTAAGCCTGAAGTAGATTGGGAGGTTGATGATACTACTACTAATCATCCGAAACTGCAGTTCAATATCTCACACACGGATTCGTTGATAGCTTGTGGAGTAACACTAAATGCTCCGGTTGGTATTGATGTTGAAGACAAGACAAGGAAGATGAGACACGATGTGTTATCACTTGCAAAGAGGTTTTACTCGTCTGAAGAAGTTAAGTTTCTGTCAAGTGTAGAAGACACTGAGTCTCAGCGTAAGGAGTTTATTAAGCTATGGACTCTCAAAGAAGCATACGTGAAAGCTTTAGGGAAAGGCTTCTCTGCTTCACCTTTTAATACTTTCTCAATCATCAGGTCTGATGCTGAAACCTACAACCTTTGTGACCAGGCAGGGGAATGGAAGTTTAGGCTTCTGGAGTTAGCTGCTTCCTCTCATTACGCTGCAATCTGCATTGAAGGAGAAGATGGTCAAGAAGCTATGAATGTGATTGTCCACAAAACCATCCCATTTGTAGAAGATGAACTTATATCTATCTGACTTGAAACTTCTCTAGTTTGGTCTTCTCTGACAAAAAAAGTGTTGAAACACTTAACAGCAAAAGGCATTGTTTCACAACAAATTATTTACAAAGATGAGATTCTAACTATGAAACCAACAATGGTTTTGATCTAAAGATTTCACTAACCACTTTGTATCAAACCCCACAAAAAAAAGAAAAACATTAATCAATCATACTTCTCCCTCCAAGTATAAACTAAAAAGAAAACCCAAGAAACAGCCAAAGCAATATCTCCAAGAGCTTGCTTAGGACACTCAAAGGCAAGATCTTCAATCTTCCACTCAAACATAACTCTCCACAAAGCCATAAGCACATAGAGAATCACAGACCCTGCGGCGAAGAAGCTATGAAAGTCTCTGTCTTTCACAAAGGACACCATGAAAAGCACCAAACCGATTGCGAATAGAAGCAAACCGGAGAATGATTGAGAGATCTGGATGAGTAACTCGTCGTGAGGTGTTGAGCCTTTGAGTTTGTTAGCTATGTCGCTGCCGTGGCCAAAGATGGAAGCTTTTTCTGTGTAGAACATCATCAGGGTCCCACTCGTGAGCGCGATTACGGAGTGGAGGAGGCAGATTACGCGGAAGAGATGTGAAGTCATCGGAGTTTTTGAACCTGTTAGGAGATTATTTCAAAACTTCATTAAGACATAATAGATGAAACTGAAAAAAAAAATTGGATCTTTTTAAGACAGGGAAAAAGAGTAGAGAGGAACAAACTTCACTTGCATATAAAGGTTTAAGCTTTTGTCGGAAAATCAGTAGAGGAAAAGATACGGTCTTGTATGAGAGAGAGAGAGTTTGTCTGATTCGGAGATTTTGAAACTGATAGATTCTTCAACGATAAGGGAGCTTATAGGGATTGTGTAAACCCTAATTTTGGGTTTGATGCAAAAGAAGATGATTGACTTTGATCTCGGTTCCTCTTTTTGGCAGCTTCTTTGTTTTGTTCAACAGAAATTCAAACCCACCGTTTAAAGATTGCTTTCCGGTTTTAAATGAGAGATCCTGTAAAATAATTGCCAGCAAAACAAAAATTAAATAGACAATCAAATTGATCAAATCTCTTGATCAGATAATTAATTTGTGTTTTATATAAAAAGATTTGGAGTTTGATTCTCAAATAATATACTTTCTTTAAATTAATAAGTTATTTATTTAAAGAATCAAAATAATACAAATAATTTTTTCATAAAAATATACTTCAAACAAATCCCAACTATTATAAATTTTATGAAATATATGAAATTATCCGTTGATAATTTGTCAGTGTAGTTAATTTTGAAAATTAATAATTAAAATATTAAGATGGCAAACAAACAATAAAAACAAACATATAGTCAATACTTTCAATTGTAAAAACATCCCAATGTAATTTTATTCATGTAGATCGCAAAATATATATATGAATTAATATTTAATTATGAAGTTTTTGGAACTAATTTTATCCATGTAGAACTCAACCGAAAGTTTAAAGAAAACGTGTTACATGACTCTTTTTACTAGAAAAATATTAATCGGTAGAATCAACATCTTGAACAAACAATAAAATATCAGTGTATCAGAAGAAACAAGAAAGTTATGTTGATCCTGGATAATGACTTTTAAAAATGCAAGAAACCATAACTTTTCGATAAAAATAAGGACATGAATCCTTCACCATCCCAACATCATTCTACTTATAGCTTTACGTTTGTCCCTTAACGTCATCAACGATCTATGAAGCCCTGAGGCATACTATCAGCAAGACCCCTCAAGTTCGGAAAAAGAAAGAGTTTCTCCCACTAAGCTTTGTAATTAAACAGGATTCAAACTCCATTTTCTTTTCATCTAAATGGTTATAAGTAAACCCTTTTTTCTCATGAGATATGAGACTAATAATTACATAAATCTCTAAAAAGTAACAAAACCGTCGAGAAGAGAAACCTTCTTGAACCACATTGTATGCACTTATGCACATCATGAAAAGGGACTGCAGCAGCAAGGACAGCCATCATCTGTACTTCATGAACCACAGGTTTGGTTGAGCTCCTCGTCCTAACTTTTTCAGTTGAAATTCTGACGTCTGAACATCTTTTTTTATATCAACTCTGACATCTTAGCTAAATTTTGATAGAAATAGAAGAATACAAAAAAAATAAAACCGCCGTCTGAGGGGATCGAACCCTCGGCCACGGGATTAAAAGTCACGCGCTCTACCACTGAGCTAAGACGGCTCTCGTTGACAAGTATTTCTTCATAATAATTCATTAATCCAAATAAAATCTTGTATCCACGTACTGAGGAAAGACACAGCACACATCAATCAAACAGGCGAAGAGTTAATGATCAGATATCAAAATCTTAGATTTATACATGAGTCATGAATTCACACAACGTTTCGTAGAGAAAGGGGACAACAAATCACGTAATAGAATCAATTATTATCAAAAGCAAAACAGTTACTATAATTAGCAAAAACGATAAGGATGGTTTATTGAAAAACATCTACTAGGTCCAATATCACTGCTAGGCCCCTGTGGCGGCGTTTGTAACGCACCAACACGTCCACTTGGCTTATTTTATTTGACCATTTTCGAATCTTTGCTCTCTCCCACTTTTGAATAATCAAACTCGATGGCTTACGTAAACTCTTATATAAACACATTACCACCCTGAGATCTTTCATCATCAATCTTCTCACACTTCACTCACAACACAAAAAAAAAAAACACAATGCAGATTCACAAACTCTGTTTTCTTGCTCTCTTCTTAGCTCAAGCAGCTTTCGCCGTCAAGTTCAACTTCAAAACCTTCAATGGAGACAACTTGATGTTCCTCGGAGACGCAGAGCTTGGTCCTCTCTCCTCCGACGGTGTAATCCGATCCGGAGCCTGGTCCATGACCCGTGACGAAAACCCATTCTCTCACGGTCAAGGTCTCTACATCAACCCCATCCCATTCAAACCTTCCAACGACTCTGCTCCTTACTCATTCCAAACCTCTTTCACTTTCTCCATCACTCCTCGCACCAAACCAAACTCCGGTCAAGGCCTCGCCTTCATCGTCGTCCCAAACGCCGATAACTCCGGCGCTTCAGGCGGCGGGTTCCTCGGGATCCTCAACAAAACCAACAACGGGAAACCGGAGAACAACCTCTTTGCTGTCGAGTTCGACACTTTCCAGAACAAAGAGTTTCAAGACATTAGTGGTAACCACGTTGGACTCAACGTCAACTCCATGACTTCTAACGTCGCGGAGAAAGCTGGTTATTGGGTTCAGACACGTGTCGGGAAGAGGACTGTTTGGTCGTTTAAAGATGTGAATCTTAGTAGTGGAGAGAGGTTCACGGCTTGGGTTGAGTTTAGAAACAAAGATAATAGGATTACGATCACGCTCGCGCCTGAGAATGTTAAGAAGCCTAAGAGGCCTTTGATAGAAGGTCCGAGAGAGCTCAGTGATGTTATTCTACAGAACAGTTACGTCGGTTTTGCTGGTTCCATGGGACGTGCCGCTGAGCGTCACGATATCTGGAGCTGGTCTTTCGAAAACGACGCCAAGAATAACTAAACCGGTTTTGGTTAAGTTCGGTTTGCTTTTATTTATAATTTGAGTGAGTAATTAAAGTTATAAAAACTTTAAGGAAATAAAACAGGCCAGATATGTGGCTTACTATGTATTGTATTTTTTTTTCATGTTATTTGTATTCTGAGATTATCAATAAAAATAAACTTTATTTTCAAACTTATTTGTGTGTAACTGGATCTTGCTTGAAGCGTATCTATCACCCTCAAAGTTCTTGACACAATGCGTTTTTAGGGATGAATTGTATATTATATCTAAGCTTAGATATTAGCGAGACCATGAGTTTCAGAAATACACTTACAAAATATTAAGCATAGATATGGGATTCAAACCTAAAACTAATTGATTTTAGGTTGAAAGCATGTATAGTTTAACATGGTATTAGAGTCCATGATTCACAAAGTCCAACCCGATATTCATTGATCTGGTTCAAAGTTGGTCCATCGATCTTTACCTAAATATTCCGAGATTAATGCTAAAGAACCATCATCTCGAAGGAACGTATTAGAGACAAAAGTCTCATATCAAAAATTAGAAGAGATTCTATCCCCTTCTTATTATTTGAGGAGAACTTTTTAAAAGAAACATGTGTTTATTACAACCATACCATTTCCTACGTGGCAACTCCACAAGCTTTCTCACTCCTTTAAACTAAAAGACCTTAGTTAACTATAGTAATTACACAACACGCCATTGATATAAATATACCATATACGTATACACAACATGCCATTGATATAAATATACATATATGATATAACAATTGATATAGCAATAGGCAATAGCACATTTACTCCTCGCATATAGTGAACTATTATTAATTAGTGATCTATTTGTTACATGTTTTTGTACGATTTCATTTTATTGTCTACTGGGCACATATTTAAATTTTATATTTTATATTTTCCTATACAACGATTTTGTTACATTTTTTTCTACGATATATTTTATGTATATATATATTGTAAATGTAATATGTAATATAAAACATGCATATAGAATAATTTTGTTACATGCTTTTGTACGATTTATTCAAAATATATTTCGTTACATAAGTATAAAAAAAATCGCAAATGCTATCACCTTATTTCATAATTCCTTATTTTCCTATTTTATTCAACATGCCTATAGAACGATTTTGTTATATGTTTTTCTACAATATATTTTATATTTTATTCAAGAAGGGGATATTCGTGTAGTATTAGTTGTGGGTACAATTATGTTCAATCAAAATTAATGGTTGAATCTGCATGCGTATTTCAGTTTCCCTTATATTCATGCATAATATCAGTTTCCCTTATATACACGAATCATTTGTTGTTATTGTATTCGAATATTAAATAAATATATTTCATAAATCGTCGAATATTAAACCAGACGACCCACTTTTACACACAAAGTTAATATTAAGTAAGTCCAGTCACGTATTTTTAGTAAGTAAATCTCGCAATTTGTTCATTAGCTAAACGGTTTAATGGTTTCTTTCCGATTTAATGTCAATCACATATATATAATATTCTGAATTAAATGAGATACCCATAAATTTGAACTTGCTTGATAGACAAGCGCAAATCGTTCTTAATATACTAAAATAAATGCTACTTAAACTTATATAACTCATATTCTATACGTCCATTCAATATTCAATCATGTTTTATTTTTCTATGTTTTATGATAAAATTATGAGAATTTTCTCATTATATCATGTTTTATTTTTCTATGTTTATTATCCTAATTATTTTTATTTATTTTCTACTGTTTTTTAATAGACGATTTCTTTACTTTTTTGCATCATCATATATCTATAAGACAAACAGATATATAAGACAAACAGTGAAAACTATATTCTATGAATCATTGCTTCGTATCACTGCTATATTAATTTCTCATTATATGACTATATAATTTTTATTACTGATTCACATCCACTACCTATTTTTAGTTAAACAAATTAATATATCAAATTACTGTTTGATCAAAGTCAAAATCATCTCATCCCACGCAGGGCGCGGATCAACACCTAATTTAGTATATAAGATAAATGAATCACTTCACTTATTACTAATTGATTCACTTATTACTAATTGATTTTAAGATAGAAGTCCATCTAATTTAACAAAAACACATAAGCAAACTTAGCAAAAATAAAAGCATTTGTTAAATCAATAAACCACAATTGCAAAACATTGTATGCCATCTCCTTCGGTTTTATTTTAAATAAAATAGGAAAATTACACCTTATATGCATACAAAAGACAGAAATCTATTATCTAATCAAAAACATATCCGTTCTCCTTATTTCTCTTTTTTATCTCTATCTAACCTCTTGCTAAAAATCTAGCACCAAATTACTACAAGATAATGTGTTTTTTTCCTTCAGTAGGCACAATATTACTTGAAGCCATATATTCCCTCCATTTCAAAAAGATTAACATTGTAGAAAAATATTTGTTTTAAAAATATGTATTTTTTATATTTTCAATGTATAATTTAATAAAAAAATATAAACTCCAAAAAAATAGTTATATTTCTTAAAATTTTATTAGTTAGAAAATGGAATTGTTAAATAATCAAAATTTTATGTTTTTTTGTGTAAAAAACTAAAAAATTTAACTTTTTGGAATATTCAAACTAAACTAAAAGTTGAATAATATAATCTGTTTTTCCCATGCAGAAGACTACAAACGTGGAATATCTTAGAGTTATACACGAGATATGAATTTTAAAATGCTCCATTAAGAAATGGGACAATAAATAGATAATGAAATCAATGATTACTCATTTACTCCAATTCAATCATCAAGAATAAGATAAACCACGTTACCTGAAAACAGTAGGTCCATTTCTTAGCAAGTTAGCAGGCCATGGTGCTGGTAGAGTCTGTAAATTGACAATTCGTTTGTTTTGTTTTGTTATTTGGAAAATTTTGGCTCCATATCTTGCTCTTACATTATGCAAATTTATAAAACTCTGTTTTAATCTGTGTTCTTCTTCCACACCATCCCTGTCAAATTCAACTTCAAAACCATTGACTCAAACATCTTAACAAAACCAACAGCTAAACCGGTGCGGGCCAAGTTTGGTTATTGTCTTAGCCAATTCTAAATTTATTATCTTTGGAGATTCATTGCTCTCAAAAGAATCTGGTCTTTTTGTTCATAGGGTTCAACAAGAAAAATGTTATCTTTATTCCAGAGCAATATTATAAGGATTTGACCCCCAATGTTTGCCTATATTTATACATTTCCCCCCAAAGTAAATGTTCTACCTTTTTCCGTTATGTGAGGCCCTAGATTAACCACGTTGCTTGCGTGTAAAGATAATATTATCAAAATCGAAAGAAGACCTGAACTGTGAGTGAAATATCCCATTTAAAATATAAAACAACGACTCGACAACAGTGAATCGTTACTTTCAGCAGTCGTTTTTTTGTTTTTATCCCAAAAGGCCGAGACTTTATGAGAGGTTGAGAGAGAGTGTGGCTGCTTCTGCTTCTTTTTTTTTTTTTTTAAAGAGTTAAAACAGAAGAAGAAAAATAAAACTGTGGTTCGGTGTTGTATGTGTGGTTCTGTTTCAATCTCGAAAAGATCATTTCTGGTTGGCCTCTCAGGTCCTTCTTATCTTCTCCCCTCTCACTCTAGCTTTGCGGTACAGAACCTTCCTACTTCCTTTTTTAGGCTTTCTTTTTTTTTATATATGATCAAAAGTTTGCATTTTTATTTGGTTATTTATATCTTTTGTCTGTTTTCCTCAAATGGGTTTGAGTGTTCTTCCTTTTCTAGCTTAAGTGGTTTTTCTTTTGTGTGGTTGGGATCACTCGCAAAAAAGGGCTTTACATTCTCATAGTCAAGCAATGAGCTACTGAATCCGAAATGGTTCCAGTTAGACTTGAGAATCAAGATAAGTCATTGGCTACTTGTTGGTTTCTGGTTACTATAGATGGAAGGTTCTTCAAACTCCAACTCTAGAGGGTTCCTCAATACCTCTGGCGTTTCTGACAGGAACAACGACTTCTCACCAGTTGAGAGAGTCACAGCATCTTCTCATGTTGATGAGTATGTGAGAAGCTTGTTTGGTAGTAGCACACACAAATCCTGTGAAGAAGAAGACTCTTTAGGGATTGATGACCCTTTTGTTAGATCCTTGGAATGGGGTGATGTCAGTTTGAGACAGTGGCTGGATAAGCCTGAACGGTGTGTAGATGTTTTTGAGTGTTTGCATGTTTTCAGACAGATTGTTGAGATTGTGAATGTGGCTCACTCTCAAGGCTTTGTTGTTCATAATGTTAGGCCTTCTTGTTTTGTCATGTCTTCGTTTAACCATGTTTCCTTCATTGAATCCGCTTCTTGTTCTGACTCCGGCTCTGAGGACGGTCCAATTAGCCACAAGGAAGATAAAGGATCATATAACAAGATCCTGGAGAGACAAATCGAGAAGCTAGAGGAAGAGAAGAAGCAGAGTTTTCCGATGAAACATGTATTAGCAATGGAGACAAGTTGGTATACAAGCCCTGAAGAAGAGTTTGGTTCTCCAAGTACTTGTGCTTCAGATGTGTACCGTCTTGGTGTTCTTCTCTTCGAGGTTTGTCATGAATAAGTTAACATTCGTTGTTTGTTTTTCTTTTGTGTTGGATGTTTCTATATTCTTGAAAAGGTGGTAATTAGATGATAGTTAGTCCTTTTGCAGCTGTTCTGTCCTGTGCCTTCAAGGGAAGAGAAGTCAAGAACTATGTCTAGTTTAAGACATCGTGTACTTCCGCCTCAGATACTTCTCAAATGTCCTAAAGAAGCTTCTTTCTGCTTGTGGCTATTGCATCCTGAGCCTAGTTGTCGACCATTAATGAGGTTTGTTTTGTGTGCTTAGTCTGTGCTGTCTTCTTTTACTAAATGGAACTAATCTTTAAAGTTGTCTTTTTGTTGTAGTGACTTGATGCAAAGCGAGTTTATGACCGAACCAAGAGATAGTTTGGAAGAACGTGAAGCAGCCATAGAGCTTAGGGACAAAATCGATGAACAAGAGTCGTTACTCGAGTTCTTGTTAATGATCCAACAGAGAAAGCAGGAATCTGCATATAGATTGCGTGATACGGTCTCACTTCTTTCTTCAGACATCGAGCAAGTTGTGAAGAGACAGTTAGTTTTGAAGAAAAAGGGAAGCTCATACTCTGATCTCAGCAAAGATAATCATCAACAAAGCTTCCCGGAAGAGCCTTCCACATTAATGGCTTCAAGAAAACGTTTTAGACAAGTGATTCCCTCAGAGGAAACCGACGTTGAAGCTGATGAGGAGAGTCAAGGAAGAAGCACATTTCTTGAAAGCTCCAGGTTGATGAGAAACTTCAAGAAGCTAGAAACCGTCTACTTTCTGACAAGACGCAGGCAGCTGAAAGCTGCTGCTTTGGGGAAGTCATTAACTAGACATTCACCGTTAAGTAGCGAAAATGGAAGAGGCTCGGAGAAAAGCTCAGTAAGCAACTCTGCAGCACCCAAAGTTTCTTCCAACAATGATTCAAGACAAGGCGGGTGGATAGATCCATTCCTTGAGGGTTTGTGCAAATACTTATCATTCAGTAAGCTTAGAGTGAAAGCAGATTTGAAACAAGGAGACTTGTTGAACTCTACCAACCTTGTTTGCTCCCTTGCATTTGACCGAGATGGGGAGTTTTTCGCCACTGCTGGTGTCAACAAGAAAATCAAGATATTTGAGTGTGATTCGATTGTAAACAACAACCTTGACATTCACTATCCGGTTGTGGAGTTGGCTGGCCGGTCAAAGCTGAGTAGTGTATGTTGGAACAGTTACATAAAGAGTCAGATTGCATCAAGTAACTTTGAAGGAGTGGTTCAGGTTAGTTTTAGCTTCCTCTTATTTATAGTTTGTGAAAAACTTCTAAGTTCATGAAATCATTGTGGTTATAGATATGGGATGTTTCAAGAAGCCAGCTGGTTACAGAGATGAAGGAGCACAAGAAGAGAGTATGGTCCATTGATATTTCAGCAGCAGACCCTACTTTACTAGCTAGTGGAAGCGATGATGGAACCGTTAAGCTATGGAGTATCAATCAGGCAATTCTAATTTGAAATGTCGGCTATTGAAAACTGAACCTAGTTTTCTCCAAATTTTCAGACATGTTAATCCTCAGGATGTAATGATTTTAAGTGTTTTTCTTTGTCTTGTAAAACGTTTTCAGGGAGTTAGCATTGGAACCATCAAGACAAAGGCCAATGTATGTTGTGTCCAGTTTCCATCAGACTCGGGACGGTCTTTAGCATTTGGCTCTGCAGATCACAAAGTGTATTACTACGATCTTAGGAACCCCAAGATTCCTCTGAGCACAATGATTGGTCATAGTAAGACAGTGAGTTATGTCAAGTTTGTGGATTCATCTACTCTTGTGTCTTCTTCTACTGATAACACACTAAAGCTTTGGGACTTATCCATGTGTGCCTCTGGTGTTAATGAAACCCCTCTTCATTCATTTGCTGGACACACTAATCTAAAGGTAACATTTATTCAGAAATCATTAAGTCTCCAGTTTCTGAGAAATAATTGTTTATTTTGTATATGTTGCAGAACTTTGTTGGCTTATCAGTCTCTGATGGATATATAGCTACAGGCTCAGAGACTAATGAGGTAAATGGGTGATGCCAAAACATGCATCTTTTGACAAACATTGTCACTTAAAACATAATTGTCTGAGACTCTCTTGATCCATGGCAGGTTTTCGTGTACCACAAGGCATTCCCAATGCCGGTTATGTCCTACATGTTCAGCAACACTGACTCTACTTCTGGTTTAGAAGTTGATGATGCCTCACAGTTCATATCGTCCATCTGCTGGCGAGGACAGTCGTCTACCTTAGTAGCTGCTAACTCCAATGGCAACATCAAGATTCTGGAAATGGTGGCGTAAGAGATCTGTTTTGTTGGGAGTACTATAGGATAAACAATTGTTACCAAAAAAGAATAGGATTTGTGTATAGAAAGGAAGGATACAAATATTGAAATCTTTGTATTTGTATACAATGTTAAACTGAAACATCTCAATAAAAGAAAAAAAGATTATAATTTTTATTTTAGTTTGTGAAATGCTTCAAACAAGGAAAAATCTAATCTCCAATATGAGACTAGTAAGTGTCGTGGTATACAAGGCATCTACTCAATCAAAAACAATGTCTAATAGTGTCTTTCTAAACCGAACTAATGATTCTCTGGAACCCTATATGTATATATATTATATATAAGAACAGTCTCACTCTCCCTGAATTCGATTCCCAGCCCTGGATCTATTTACATTGATTAACTCCTGTTTTAGCCTCATTGACTAACCTGTCCACAAGTCCCTGAAGCCTCTGAGCTCCAGGACTAGGCTTAATGTTAGCCACATCACCGACCTGGGAGCACTTTGGTTTCCCACTGCACCACCCACCAAGAGTAAAACCATCATCACCGTTTCTCCTTTTAAGCAACTCCTTATCAATCAAATCAAGCACTTTGTCGTCTCTTTTGAATTTTCTAGCGAAGGCAGCACCGCTGGATATCATCTGTGACGTGTCGTTGAGTGACAACACGTGAGGGTGCTGCTGCGGGGGAGTGTCCCAGGAGATGTAGTGGAGGTCATGGTTGAGTGGAGTTTTTGAAAACTCTGGCACGTTGCAGATTACGGTTTGGAAGTAACCTTCAGGTGATGAAACGAAGTTGGTGTAATACATAAGGAGAGTTCGTGGTAAGTTGTCCCATCCCCATATGCAGTACTCTACAAAGGGACGTGATAGAGCCATCCAAGCAGATCCTGTGACACAAAACAAACAAACAAAAGTTATGGAACTATAGAAACAGTGGAGCTTCAAAGACAGTTTAGAGGACTAACCAGTGAATAGTTTAAACGCAGTTGGTAAACTTCGACGAGGTGTGACCCAGTATATATCTGATTTGTTCAACATGTAGAGTCCAGGATCAATCATTACTGGCATTGCTCTTTTCTCCCTTCACAAAAGTAGAACAAGACCTCAGAACACAAGAGCAAAAGAGGAAACTCAAGAACGTGAAAAGTCTCTTACTCTTTCCAACCAAGATCACTTGTATGCTCAATAAAGTTGAGGTTCCGGTCCAGAGTTGAAAAAGTATGAAGCAGATCTTCAAATAAACAGTAAGTTAATCAAAACACAAGACTCATATCTAGATGGAAACAGAGAAACAAAGCTGTTTTACTTACCATCTTGTGTCACAAGGGGATAATCAGAAGCACTAAGATTAATAAACCAATCCCAGTTAGCACTTCTCTTAAGCAAAACAGCACAAGCGTGAAGTGTATTAGCCACCATCGTTGGTCCTCTATATGTGACAAGATTAGCCTTTGTTATCATATAGACATTCCCGGTTTTAGAATACATAGGATCCTTATTAATCCGAGAAGCCAGCTCTAATCTCTCATCAACCGGTGACTCAAGATCCAAATGAACAACGTACTGGTTTCTCGGATGGTACACTGCTCTAAGCGTTCTCCAAAGCTTTTCCACGTCCCCTTTGGACCCGGAAACAAGGTATGCAAAACGGGGAAGCTTGTCTTCATGAGGACGAGTTTCTTGTCTAGCGACTTTAGACTCTGCGAAGTCGAGTTTGGTTTGGTTCTTGGCGAGAGGAGAAGGGATGATGGAGAAGATGGAGTTGAATTTACGGAGGGAAGAAGCAAGGCCCATGTTGAAAGTGGTTGCGAGGAGAAAAACGCAGACGAGAGATGTGATGACAAGAGGGAATACCCATCTCTTCTCCACGTTTACATACCCCATTTCAGTGAACCTGTGATCATGAGACAAAGAAACAAGCTTCTGGTCTTGTTTGCCGAATCAAAACTGTCTGCAGGGACCCAAGTGTTTATTGATTTACAAGAATCTTGAGTTCAGGCTTGATCAGACACCTATCAACACAAAGACACAAATAGAAATAAGAAGATTAGTAAAAGACAGGACATGAAAGTTGCCAGATTCTCACGCAACATCAAAGCTCAGAGAGCTTGAGAATTACGAAACTATTTAGAGAGGTCGTATATAAGATAATTTAATTAAAGACGACAAGGCTCTTCACCCCATAAAAAACATCTTTGGACCAGGATTCATCAATCAACCAAGGACATCTCAGCAGCTAGATTAACCTCATATGAAGCAACTTATTACACAACTCTTAAAACCACTCAAAAGTGACATTAACGATTACAAAAAGGAAACTTTTCAAAGACCCATTTCGTAGATTATCCCCAAACAGAAGAAAAAAAACTCTTCTCACAAACCACCGACACCATCAGAATCTTAGATCTATTACACTACAGAACATTCTAAACTCATCACACCAAAAAACAAATCTAGAGATTTATAGAACAAGAGATCGATAAACGAAACCAGACATAACTTATTATGATAAGAGATTAATAAGATGAAGAAACCTGTTTTCAATCTCGATGCAAAGGAAGCTTTTTTTGAATGCTCTATACTTTGTGCAAAAAGAACACGGGAACACTCTTGTGTCTGGAGTAGTAAAGTTATATAGAAGAAATGAAGAGAGACAGTGAGATCTCAATAAACAAAAACAGAAAAATCAAACTTAACGATTTTTCTAACCTGGAAATTCGATGAGCGTGTGTGATACTCTCATTCGTTGAAATATTCAATTTTTAAAAATTAAAAAAAAAAAAACAAAGAAATTTTGGTTCATTGAGCACTAAATTTCGTTACTTTTGTCTCTGTTCCTTTATTAGTGGAATCTAAACGATTTTAAAGTTTTAATTTGAGTAATGAAAACGCAGAGGAGAACCCGTCTTTTAATTATTCTCTGCATCTTACTTTACACTAATACCGTACGAGTTAAAGCCAATCAAATTCTGACACGTAACCAGAACCCACCAGCTCTAGTGAATGAATATAATATTATCTGTGGATGTGATGTAGACGATTATAACTCTTGACCTTTTTACGACAAAAACATTTATTTATTGCGTAGCCAGTGTAACAGACACGTATGGGTATGTGATAGTAACACTTTCTTTCTTTATTTACTCTGTGCAATCTAGTAAGGCGAATTACTAATAGATACTATATTTACTATTTAGCGTAATTTTTTTTTCACTCGAGTCTTATTTTTTCACTGAATATTTACAAGTATAACAATTAAAATATGAGTTATAAAAAAAAGATAATTAAAATAAAATAGTATTTAAAAAAAAATTGTAAACACAAGAATAGTTGCTTTTTAAGTAGGGACCAGAGCAAGAGTCTTCCAGAGTTTCTGCTTTCACATGTGAATATAGCTGAATCATTTTTATTTTACTTTTATGTTAAAAAGTTAATGGATGTTTGTTGCGCTAATTACGTGGTAACAAATAACGCGCTTAACTAATATCGACAGGTGCGTGGAGTGGTGACGAGATAATCGTTGAGTCTCAATGGGCTTATAGACTTTAGAATCTATGAACCTCTCAACCTGACTAAAGGCCCATACTATTCAATCATGTTTTACAGGGTTTCTTTTTGTCAACCTGACGGGACATTTTTGTCGAGAGTTGAATTGTATGAGCTGGTTCGTCCACTAGAAAGTATTTCTTGCGAGTAAACAAAATCGAAAATCTTAAATACTGATATAATTTTTTCCGAACTTTCTAAAGTGTTTTTAGTGTTAAAATTAATTCAAACAAAAATTGTTTTTACAATGAATGATACTTCAGTACTACGAGTTTACGTAGAAAAAGTTAACCATCCTTTAAGGGAATCTGTTCCTCCTATACTGTTTTTGCTTTCAAAATATAGATGCATTTTTGTAAAAAAAATTTGATATAAATAAATTTAACATTCATTCCAAAAAAATCTATTCCTCCAAGCCTCTGTCGTAAGAATGGACCCCGCAGTGACGTTGAGAGTTTTCTAATGTACAAGGCTATGGCAATAAGACTAGTTAGACCTGGGCATTTTATTCGTTAAATTTGATTCGATTCGTTATTCGTCTCGATTCGATCTGAAAATTCCGGATATCCGTAAACTTTCGAATCGAAGCAAATACTAAAAATCAATATTCGTAAAAATCGAAGCAAATCACAAATATTAAAATTTTGGGAAGCGGATATCCGATCCGATCCGGAAATATATAAATATATGTATATTTTGATTATATTTAAAATTTTAAATGTATACAACTATTATTATAGCTTATGATTTGACTAATTACATTCACATTATTACTTATATAAAATTATTAGATAAAAAGAAGAGAAAAATTAAGAAAATTATAAAAAAAAATCTTAAGTTTTGTGTTATTATAGTTGTTAACTTAAACATAAAAAATTATAAAATATGTAAATTCACTACTTCTTTATTTTTTATTTTATATATCATGTAAAAAAAATTTAGAAAAAAAAAATTATATAAGATTATTTGTAACGGATGAGATATTCGTAAGTATTCGTAAATATCCGCAAATATCTGTTTATTTTCCGGATATCCGTTTTTCCGAATATCCGTCTTTTTCCGAAGCAAAGCAAATACCAAAATCAGATATCCGTAACATACGAAGCAAATCACAAATACCTTCGAAAACCCGGATATTCGATCTGTGCCCACCCCTAAGACTAGTAACTTGATCGGAAACTAGGTCACGAGAAAAGGGATTCATGACGTTGTTTTTTTGTTAATGAACCGTTTTTCCAGGGAAAAGAGATGGATGCTATTTGTTTTGTTGAATGAAGATGATTAGAGTTTGATGTGTGTTTGGGGAGAGAAAAACTATGTGTGAAATAGGAACTGTGAATTTCCCCAAATGAAAAGATGACGCAGCTCTGAGAGACACAGTTGTTCTCGTTCGTATCAGCTTGTAAATAAGCGAATTCAAAGTACATGGATGTGAAAACTGAGAATTTGTATCGTAATTGTTCTGATCTCGTCCGTGTTTTGTCGGCATAATTAGATTATATATAGAGATAATCTTATTGAAAACATGAATTCTTCATTTTTAGGGCTATAATTTTAAATTTATGAATAATTCATTTTAGTTAAATAATTTTAAGATGCCAAAAAAAAAGTTAAATACTTTTACAAAAAAAAATAAAAATAGTTAAAAATTGTGATTATTGAAAAAATTTAGTGGGTTATAACTTATAATATTTTTTTTACAACAATAATGAAACTGTGAAATATATCATATCGGTTCAGAGAATCCAATCGTTGGCATGAATCAATATAAAATACAGTTGAAGGAAAACTTTGATCACTTCGTGCAAAATTTTAGATTAGTTGTTCTTGGTATGTGTTAAATTTTGAAAGTAAAAAAGAAAATTTTATTATGTCGAAACTTCTACAAATATGTAGTATAAATTGGCTATTATTTAGGTGAGGTAGTGCTGGTCCTAGAAAATTTAAGACAAAAGCAAATTAGAAAAGAAAAACTATGTTTTGTTTAACTTCGAACCCGAGTTGGGGGAAGAAATTTTGAAACAGTTAGATTTCACCACTACACTAAGGGAAAACTTTGGAAAAATGTGGCCAAAATCTCTTTTATAATTAAGCGATCAGAAACAACTATTTTTTTTGCTTGGTCCAAAGGTCGGCTCTGGGTGAAGATACCATCTTTACTAATTGAAATCAACATGTTACAAAGACTACATCTGAATAATAAAAGGTCTTCATACAATTCATGACCCATATCGAAATTTCATATTATATATGTAAATTTGATAAACTTCTTCAATGATTTATCGTCTCTATCATCTTTCTTCTACGCATCCCCTATATATTATTTGAGAATCATTTAAAAAGTTGTAACCTTAGATTTGTAAGAATTAAAAATAACTCCAATCCTATGTGGCATAGCTCTTTGGCTTCTATTTCAAATCCCAAGGATTTTAGAGCATGTGATATAATGTATAGTCTAAAAATTGTATTCTCTAGCAATATAATATTTCGTAGACTATAGTTGCGCATATATCAAATATTTATTGTTTCGCATGTTTTCCTTAAATAAAACCTACGGAATTACCTAATGTGATTAAAATATATATATGACAATTAATGATTTTAAACAATAAATATTTGATAACAATCTGTATATTTTTTCTCATTTTCTTTATTTATTTATTATTAAAATAAATTACACAATTACATTAATCATATAATAAAAATTTAGATTTTTTTTTGTGTATGTTGTATTTCGAATTTTTGAAAATGAGTATAAATTACTAAAACTGTTAAAAGTCTCACATAAACTTTTAGGATCAAGGTTTTAGTTTTTTTATATATTAAAATATAATGATTATAAGACCATATGAAGAAATAATTTTAGTTTATATATATATTTCATATCGTTTTAATTAAACTATAAATCGTATGAAAATACATACTTATATTTTGATATTTGTCTTCAACATATATTGAAAATTTAATATTTTAATTTTGAAATATGTCATTGTTTTTTTTAAATGATTATAAATTATTGAAACTACTAAACATCTCACATTAAAAAAATCATTGGTGTAAATTTTTGTTACACAAATATGCAAATAATCATAAAATCATATGAGTAGAAACCTCTTTTAATAAATATCAATATTAAAAGTGTGCCATATTACTATGTTTATATCATTTAAATTTAATTATATATATCATATAAAAAATATAAGATTGATTATTTTGATTTATTTACGCTAATTGCGAATAAACAGGAGTGATAGTTAGATTTATATGCATACGTCAATTTATGACATAATAGTGACTAATTTCTTAGTTATGTAATATATATATTTATTATTTTATTA